ATTATTTAAGTCTACTTTCAAATATTGTCATGCCATTTCATAGGTAGTGAAACTACGGATTATTTCCAATTCTTCCCCCCTGTCTCTTGTAACATTGCTGTCATTCATTTTACTTACTCATAAGCTATCATCCAGAAAACAATGTTGATATTATTTTAAACAATGTTATCTGTTAGATCCATTGAGAATAAGGAAAATAAAATATTTTATTTTACCTCTATTTCTTCTCTAAAACTCTTTCTAACTTTATTTAGATCCAGATTCCTAGCTTTGCACGATTTCTATCTCTTTGGAAAACTACTTCTAACAATTCTTCTAACAATTCAAGGCAGGTCTACTGGTGACAATTTCTCTCAATTTTTATTTGTCTGAGAGTCTATTTCTTCTCTACTTTTGAAGGATAATTTTATTGTTACAAGCTGCTAGGCTTTTTTTTTCCTGCAACACTTTAAATTGTTTCTTCTACTCTCTTCTTGTACTGTTCCTCAAGAAAAGTCCAATGTAATTCTTATTGTTTGTAGGCAAGGCTGGTTTTTGTTTGTTTTACCTCTGGTTTCTTTCAAAACTTTCTTTGCTTGACTTTCTGCTCTTTAAATATATATTCCCAGGCATAGGTTTGTTTTGTTTGCTTATTTGTTTTAGTACTTCTCATGTTTGAAGTTCTGAGCTTTCTGAATCTGTGGGTTTGTGGGTCATTAATTTTGAAAAATTCTGAGTTATTATTACTTCAAGTTGTTCCTTTGTCGCTTTCTCTCTTCTCCTTCTGGTATCTCCATTAAGCATATGTAACACCTTTTGTAATTTTCCCATGGTTCTTGGATAGTTTATTTTGTCATCTTCATTCTTTTTTCTATGTTTTCCTTGACATACCCTCAAATTATATTTTTTCCTTGGTTGTATTCAGTCGCTTACCGTTTTCTTTGCTGCGAGAGTGTCTTTTATTTCTAATATTTCCTTTTGATTCTTAGCATTTTCAATTCTCTATTTATAGTACTCTTCTGTCCCTGCATATTTTCTACTTTTCCTCGAGTTTGAGGGCTAGAAGAGGCTGGTGTTGAGTATTTCCATTCCTCTAGATGCCCAGGTGGGTAGGCTCTGGTAGTTTCCCTTAAAGGCAGGCTTTGGTAAGGAAAACAGAGAGCTCTGGGCATATTTCATGAAGGTTCCGTTTCCTCTCCCACTGTCAGAAGATTTTTCTCCTGTGTTTATTGAAAGAACCTGGCAGGGCTCCTGGATACAAAATTCACAAAAGTGTGGGTGCCCCCTCCCACACACATGGTTGGGGCCACTTGGAGTTTTAAACTCTCAAGGTTGTCCACACAGAGCCTCCAACAAATCCATTAATTACAGTTTTAAAGTGTTCCTACTCATACTGGCTTCCACTGCTGGCTTCCGTTCCCAATAAGCTGTCCTTTTTTTATCCGCCTGTCTGTCTGTGCAGTTTGGGTGGGGGGCAGTCTGCTCTGTGACAGTTCTCTGGTAGACCTAAAAAGAGTTGTTGACTTTGTTTGTTTGCCATTTTTCTTGTGAGGATGGGACGGACCAATTTTCAAGTTCGGAACTCTTTCCATGTTGGACTGGAAACCTTTAAGTCACTTTAATACATCCTCTTCCCCATCATTAACTTGACTGACTCACAGATATGGCTGAAAAGAAGAGGGTATGATCTCTTTGTTTTAGTTCCTTCACCTTTGACTTCTCTATGTCCCACACTAGTTTTTCTTTGAGGTCCTTCAGGGTAGCTTAGGGGTGCAAAGAAAAGGCTTTTGTAAATTGAGGTTGTCATTCCTTCTGTAACAAATGTTCAAATGCTGGTATTTTCTGTCCTAGGTGGGCTTTTGTTGTTGTTGTGTTTTTTGTTTTTTTTTTTTAAATTCATCCAAATTCAGGAACTTCAACATTACCATTCCCTGATACATCGAATGAATGCTGCAGCCAGCATTGCAGAAATCCCATGTGACAGATTTTCTGGTGGCCTAAACAATCTCCTCCCGCTGGTTGGTATGCTTCCTTCCTTTCTTTCTTCTGGAATTTTCTCTCCTTTTTGAAAACAATTTCTACGCTAGTGTTATGGATTGAATTGTGCTTCCCCCACTCAACATACATTTAAGTCCTAATCCCAGTACCTCAGAATGTAAGCTTATTTGGAAATTAAAACATTAAAGAAGTAATCAAGTTAAAATTAGGTCATCAGGGTGGGCCACAAACCAGTATGCTGGTATCCCTATAAAAGGGGGAAATCTGGACACAGAAACAGCACATAGAGAGAATGCCATCCGACCATGAAGGCAGAAATTCCAGTGACGCATCTACAAGCCAAAGGGCATGAAAGATTGCCATCAAACCACCAAGAGCTAGGAGAGAGGCATGGAACAAGTTCTTCCTCAGAGTGCTCAGAAAAAAAAAACAACCTTACTTACACCTGATTTTGGACTTCTAACCTCTAGAACTGAGAGACAATAAATTTGATGTTTTAGCCACCTTGCTTGAGATATAGAAGGTCCTTTGAATAACATCATTTTATTCAACATAATTTCATTATACAGCATTGGTGAGAGGGGAAAAATCGATTCCTGTCTGGGCCACATTCCTATGTGGCGTTTGCTCACTTCCCCATGCTTTCATGGGTTTTCTCTGGGTCCTCTGGCTTCCTCCCATGTTCCACAGATATATACAGTAGGTTAACTAGCGTGTCTAACTTGTCCCAGTATGAGTGAGCTTTGCAATGGAATGCCCTTCTGTTCTTGGAGAGACCAGGATAGGGTCTAGCCACCCATCACAGGGATCAAGTCTGAAAATAATTATTTTACTTGTTTGTACTAATCTTTCTTAAATGTATGTATTGCTCACTCACATTTATTACAATGTTGAATACTGGAAGTGTTTGGGTCTTTATTTAGAAGTTTGCTGATGTTTTTGTGACCAGAAGTATGCTATAGGAATTTATCTCTTATTTATATCAATTAGCTTATGTTAAAATGGGTTTTATTATTCCTTGCTTTGCTTGAAATCAGTTTCCAAGATCCTATCGATGATGTCAATTGAGGAGTCACTCTACTTCCTACAGCAGCCCTAGAAAACTAATACCTACAGTCATGTGCCAACATGTCTACTATGTATTGGGAAAACTTGATAGTTCTTATCTTTCTATTCTATCATAAGCACCCTTAGTCAGTGTCTTGCCTTTCAATATTTCCATGCAAGTGAATTGGCAATCACCTTTAGGACTCCTGTTTCCCAAAATCTAAGGTTATTGGCCAAGTTTTCCCTGCTTCCATCCCTACCAAAATCTCTTGCCACCCTTTTCTTTGGTGGAGGCATGGGGTGGACAGGGCCTATGTCATGCAGGATGTTATGGATTTTTGCAAACAATTCCCTATTCTATTTGAGTAGGGAAGCTCTTAACGGTTTTTAAGAGGAAAGTAACAAATTCTGTTTTGCATTTTATTTTTAAAAATATTTTATTTACTTATTTTTGGAGAGAAGGGAAGGGAGGAAGAGAGGGAAAGAAATATCAGTGTGGTTGCGTCTCATCTGGCCCCCACTAGGGACCTGGCCTGCATCCCAGGCATGTGCTCTGACTGGAAATCAAACCTGTGACCCTTTGCTTCACAGGTCCAAGCTCAGTCCACTGAGCTACACCAGCCATGGCTCTGATTTGCATTTTAAAAGGATTGCTACAGCTGCCAGTAGGAGACTAGACTGTAGAAAGGCAAGAACAAGTAGTATGTAGAACAAGTAATAAACAGCTAGAGCTTTTAGTAAGGACTACCTTTTCAACAGAGAGCCAACATATTTTTCTGAGAGACTAAATATGAACTGTAAGAAAAAGAATTCAAAGAATGATCTGAACAATTGTAAGGATCAATATGCCATTTAATGAGATGGAAAGATGTACAACATAACAGGTTTTGGAGGTAGAAAATTTGGACTTTTAAATGCATGTTAATACCCTAGTAGATATGTTGAATAAGAGGTTAGGTAGAGAAACCAGATAATTCAGGCTGGATATGGGTATTTAAAGGCCATCAGCATAGTAATGCCATAAAAAGACAGTGAGGGAACAGATGAGATCTCCTGGGGAATGAGGTTGGATAAACAGGGGAAGAAATCTGGGGCACACTAACATTTAGAAATCAGAAAGAATCCAGCAAAGAAGAACCAATACAGCATTGTGATTTCACAAAAGTCAAATTAAAAAAAAAATTCAAGAACAAGGATGTGCTTAACGGTGTCAAATGCTGCTGAATGGTCGGTCAAGTAAGACGAAGACTTAAGAGTTGCCCCTAGAATTTGCCAGGATTGTTTAAATGCCCAGATATCCACACTCAAACTCTCCTTGCATTCTAACATTCCAACTAGCTACGAGATCTCACATTCAATAGTGCACAAGAATTAAAGATCTAAAATTTACACTTAACATCTTGTAATTCTATACGTGCGGACTTTTTAGGATAATTTCATGGGTAATTTTTACTACGAGGGATTTTTACCATAAAGGCTGAATACAAGTCCCTGATAACAATGTGACTGTAGCTTTCCACAGCTATTTTCAATCTGTCCTATTAGTGTAGGCACATCCCCTGTTACTGTGCGTTGCTGTACTACGCTCTCAGCTGTTACGTTTTTTAGCAAATTGAAGGCAAGATCCTCCACCAACAGAAAGATCAGGACTCGCTTTTCTACCAATGTATGCCTGTATTCAGCAGAAAGGGAAAAGGGCAGGCTCAGGGACTCCATTCTTAACTTCCTAAGCCTGACTGAGAGGGACATTCTATCTTCTAAATCTAAGACTTTCTCATCTCCCGTTTTTACTGGGGTTGAAAGAACCAGTAAAGACAGATAAACCTCGGGGATGGAGTGGGCAAGAAGCTGCACGGACACTCCCGGAATTATTTAAATTACGTTTGCAGAACTAGGCAGAGGGCGACCCCAGAAAAGGAGGTGCCTGAACCGTTGGAGGAGCAAAGTCCGCAGGTAATTTACGTGACAACTCTTACCTCCTGCAGGCCTCTGTCCCAGCCCACCAAGCACTGCAGGAACTTTGCCAACGACCACGCCCCGCCTATTTCCGGATTGGCGCTGTCGCGTGCGCGATGACGTTTCAGTCTTTTGCGGACCCCGGAAGTGCAACTTGAACTTGTTCGGGGCGCGGATCCCCAGAGAAAAAGTCAAAACAACCGCACGAGGGAGTTCGTTCAGCGAGCTGGAAGGCCACGCCTCCTCTCGCCTTCCCCCACAGCCTTGTAGCTGGGGGCAGAGCTCAGGTAGGACCTCTGTTTGCAGGGTTGTGAGCTCCCGCGGCAGGCCTTGGCGGTAATCAGAATAGCTGGCTTGGTCCACCTGGGGTGGGGGTTGCTGGCTCCAGGGCCAGAGGCTCCGCCGAGCTGTGCTCGTTTCCTGCGGACACCTCTGCTCTACGTGCTGGACTCCGCAGTTGGGCATTTTCCACCTGCCATTTCCACTTCCGTGGCGGGGCAGGACACGTGTGTTACTAAATGACTTTCTTTACACCTGGACATTGGAGGTTACGGGAACCCTAGAGAGTCTAAAGTAATTGGCCCTCCTCTGCTTTCTCAGGAGGGGAGGTATTGCGGTTCTCTGGTTAAAGGTTTTTTTCCCTACAAAAATTATCAAAGTCAGAACCTTTACTAAATGTCATTTACCGCAGAAAGAAGGTTAAAGTGCAGCTATAAAATGTTCTCAAAAGTTACAACGTGCACGGACGACGATGGGGCATTTAAATGGGATGTATTCTTAGTTGCATACTTTTGACTTAGATACAAAGTTAGGTATATTTTGGAAGCAGTATTTCCTTTCCTTCATTCAGAGACTTAACATATTCTTCTAGTGCTCCACAGTGTGTATCTGTTGGGCCAAGTAATCAGTTACTTAATTTTTGGCTATGTATATTGACAGCCAACTTTCTGGCATTTGTCCATTTTCCCAAATCCTGTGTAAAGAGAAAATACTGTGGTTCCTAGACCACCAAGTTCCTTGTAACTTTTATAAAATATGTGCAATGTGATATTTGTTATGCAATACATAGTATCTTTTTGTCATAAAGCAATATTAGAAGTTCTTTCTCCTTGTTCTTATGCAGCATTGTGAGGGACAGATACACTGTATTCATTTAGTGTTTTTAGAAGCTGAGTCAGAGACAACTGTTTGAAGTGCTTAATTAAGGTCTTACTGTTACTGCTGGTATCAGGCTTCTGTCTGACTTTTAAACTAGGTGTTCCTATTACGTCACCAGTGAATCCTAAGCAGAGATGCTCTGGAGGGCTTTGAGGCAGTGGCTGCTACAAGGCTGGTGGGTGGTATCAGGGCCGCAAGGGAAACATGTGAAGCTGTGAATATCTATCTGTTCATTTAACAAATATTTATTGGCTACCTTCAATGTGCCAGGTAGTGTTCCAGGTACTGGGAAAACAGTTGTGTCCAATAAAGTCTTCCTTGTGCTCCTGCAGTTTACATTGTAGTGGATGAAGAAAGAAAACGTGTGTGTGTATGATAAAAGCAATGAAGAAAAATAAAGCTTGTTATGGGGAGAGAGTTGGTGGAGGATGCTATTTTAGATAGGGTGCTCAAGCTCAGCCTCTCTGATAAGGAGACATTTGTTTTTTGTTTTTTTTTTTTGAGTAGAGATCTGAGTGAAATGAATGAGTGGGGGACAGGTGTTTTAGGCTCTAAGGCTCTAAGGCAAGAGTATGTCTGGCAGTGGGTGTGAAGTAGTGGCTCCTGTGCTTTTGATTTGCATTTCTCTAATGTTCAGTGAGTTAAACATCTTTTCATATGCTTTGGGGACATAATGTATATTTTTGGCGTACTATGCATTTGTTTTGAGATCTGATTTTAATAGGAATTCTTGGAGATTTATTGGGGGTAAGTCTTTTAAGGTCTAAAGAAAGCAGCCATTATGTATTCTGTTCCTTTTAAAATCAGTTAATATAATACTATACTTGTGTTACTAAATACTGTGCTATACTTGTATAATACTATACAATACTTGTAAAATACTATACTTGTAAAAACTTCAATGTCTAGAACAAGTATCTGCAGTAACTCTAGACTTAGAAATAAAAGAAACGATAGTGTGTTTTGTAACAGTGAATGAAAATTTGAGCATCAGATTGTAATGAAGACAGTTCAGAAAAGCCAAAGATCAACATGACATGCTTTGATATTTATTTTTTCTTTTTAATTGGAAAGAAAGGAGAGTATGGATTGGCTGACTGTGCCTGTGTAGTAGATCTCCTTTTGTCTGGTACCTGAGAAGAGCAGGAAACAGAAGAGGTAACACTTAACCAAGAAACAGAAAAGAAGTGTTGAATAGCAGTATAGCATTTGGGTGTGGCTAGATGGAGAGTGGCAAAGATCAGCAGTAGTAATGGATGGTGAGCACCAGAACTGACAGCAGAGGTGAGGGGACCCAGCAACAAAGTGACAGAAAGGAACATAGCTCCACAGATTGGGATGAAATGGGGGGTGGGGTGAGAGAGTGCAAATCACCAGCTGCTTCTCAGCATGTGGTTCTGAAGTCAGTCCACTTGACCTTGACTAATTCAGCAGGACCCACTGTACGTCAAGTAATGTATGTCAATCCATAGGGTTCAACAGTTAGTGTTTAAAAGGTGTGCAGTCTGCATAGCCTACTATAAGTTTTTCAGACCACATATCACATAATTTCTATCCATAAAGTAATGAAATTTAATCAATTCAATGAGTAATTGATAATTTAACATCAGTCAGCTATGTAAAAAATATTTTAGCTTATTTAAGATGTGAAGGGATTTTTTAAAATTTATTCTTTATTATATTTTTTCCATTACCATTTAGTCCCCTTACACTCCCCTGCCACCACCCCCAGCAATCACCACACTGTTTTTTTAAAATCCAGAATGGTTGGTTAATAGTGCAATAGTTAAAGGCGAAACATCTTTTTTTAAAAAAGATTATTGAATGTTTTGTATATTATTGTAGTCTATTAAAAATTCTTGGGTTTCTATTAACTATTTTAGTTGTAAAGGTCATTTAAATAAACTATTGTGCTTTAATTTTTTTTTAATTTTTAAATTGTTTTATTTTATTTTATTTTTTATTGTTCAAGTACAATTGTCTCCACTCTCCCCCAGCCATCCTCCTCTTTGCTACCAACCCCCTCAATCCTGTCCACCTTGAACTTTGTCCATGGGTCCTTTATACATGTTTCTTGACGTCACTTCCCCTTTACCCCATTATCTCCTCCCATCTCTTTGGTTACTGTCAGTTTGTTCTTTATTTCAATGTCTCTGGTTCTATTTTACTTGCTTGTTTGTTTTGTTGATTACAATCCACTTATAGATGAGATCTTATAGTATTTGTCTTTCACTGCCTGGTTTCTTTCATTTAGCATAATACTCTCTAGTTCATCCATGATGTCATGAAGGGTAGGAGTTCCTTCTTTCCTTCTGCTACGTAGAATTCCATTGTGTAAATGGAAACCCCAGTTTTTTGATCCACTCATTTACTGAGGGGTAAATTGTCTACTATAAATTGTGCTGCTATGTACATTGGGGATGCATAGGTTCTTTAGAATTGGTGTTTCAGGATTCTTAGGGTATAATCTCAGCAGTGAAAATTGCCAGGTCAGAGGCAGTTCCATTTTCAGTTTTTTTCAGGAAATTTCATACCTTTTTCCACAGCGGCTGCATCAGTCTGCATTCCCACCAACAGTGTACAAGGGTTCCGTTTTCTCCACAACCTCCCCAGCACTTGTTGTATATTGATTTGTTTATAATGACCATTCTCACCGATGTGAAGTGGTATCTCATTGTGGTTTTAATTCGCATCTCTCTGATAGCTAGTGATGCTGAGCATCCTTTCATATGTCTCTGGACCCTTTGTATGTACTGCTTGGAGAGTGTCTGTGTTCAGGTCCTTTGCCCATTTTTAAATTGGGTTGTTTGTGTTCCTGGTGTGGAGTTGTGTGAGTTCTTTATATATTTTGGAGATCAAACCCTTGTCCAAGGTATCATTAGCAAATATATTTTCCCAGATCATTGGTTTTCTTTTCATTTTGCTGATGTTTTCTTTAGCTATGCAGAAGCTTTATATTTTGATGAAGTCCCACTTGGTTATTCTTTCTTTATGTCCCTTGCTCTAGGGGACATATTGGTGAAAATATTGCTGTGTGGAATATCTGAGATTTTCCTGCCTGTATTCTACTCTAGGACTTTTATGGTGTCATGACTTACATTTAAGTCTTTTATCCATCTTGAGTTTATTTTTTTGTATGGTGCAAGTTGGTGGTTGAGTTTCATTGTTTTGTGTCATCTCCCAACACCATTTGTTGAAGAGGCTATTTTTACTCCATTTTATGCTTCTGCCCCCTTTGTCAAATATTAATTGACAGTAGAGACATGGGTTTACTTCTGGGCTCTCTATTCTGTTCCATTGACTTATGTGTCTATTCTTATGCCACTATCAGACTCTTTTGGTTATAATAGCCTTGTATAATTTGATATCAAGTATTTTGACCCCTCCTGTTTTTTATTTATAGTTCCATATAAATTTTTGAAATGTTTATTGTATATCTGTGACATATGTCATTGGTGTTTTAATAGGGATTTCACTGAATCTATTATTTGCTTTGGGTAGTATGGACATTTTGATGATACAAATTTTTCCAACCCATGAACATGGTATATGCTTCCATTTATTTGTGTCTTCCTTAATTTCTCTCTTTAGTGTTGTGTAGTGTTCTGAGTACAGGTCTTTTACCTCCTTGGTTAGGTCTATTCCTAGGTAGATTATTGTGCTTTAATTTAATGAAGGAAAAATTTTACCACAATTCTGCTTATCCCTCTTTGGCAAATTAAAATTGATTAATTTGCTACAGATGAGATGTCAGATGTCTGGCTCAAAATTTTACTGATAAAAAGTTAAAGACAAGTTAGAGACAGTAATGCTGTGCTGCTTTCTCTGATGTTGTGCTGTTTTGTTTTATGAGAACAGTTCATTTTTATAGTATAGGTGCTATAATATGGATAATTTTTGCTGTAGAGAAAAATATGATGACAGATCATTGAAGTAAAACAGTTATCATATGTCTCCATTTCTCTTTTTAAAATTATATTTATTTATTTTTAGGGACAGGGGATGGGAGGGAAAAGGAGAGGAAGAGAAACATCGATGTGAGAGTGAACCTTGATTGGTTGCCTCTCTCATGCACTGACCTGGGATCATACCCACAGTCTAGGCATGTGCCTGACTGGAAATCAAACTGGCGACCCTTCTACTTGCTAGAGGACACCCAGCCACCAGAGTCGCCTTGATCTGGGCTGTTAGCATTTCTTTATAGCACACTGGGTATTTATTTTAGCTATAGTCTAGATGTTGATAATGTACTTGAGGTTGATTTGCTCAGATGTTAGAGAAGCACTAGTAAGCCTAAGACTGTGTATTTGGGCTCATGTAAGGTCCTTATTTAATAGCTTATTATTGAATGATCACAAT